GACGTGACACATGTTTACGGAGCACTTCTGTGACAGGCACAATTCCAAACGCTCTCCGACAAAACCTTACTTTGCCAGCCAATTCTGACAAGGAACCCATGAGGCAGAGACCATTATGTTCCTCACAGGCACACAAGTCCCACCACGTCCCAAGACCACGCGGCCAAGAGGCGGCAGAACGACATTCACATCTCAGTGACCCAAGTCAAAAACCTGCGCCTCTACCCGAAGGCAGAACACATTTATCAGGGCTTTCTGGTTTGTCCTGGAGAAGGCTACTTTAAAAACTGTCTTCAGGGGCCGGCATTGTGGCATAGTGGTTAAAGCTGCTACTGGCAGTGTCGGCATCCCATATGGGTGCCAGTTCAAGTTCCGGCTGCTCCATTTTCTTTTCTTTTTTTTTTTGACAGGCAGAGTGGAGAGTGAGAGAGAGAGACAGAGAGAAAGGTCTTCCTTTGCCGTTGGTTCACCCTCCAATGGCCGCCGCGGCCAGGGCACTGCGGCCGGCGCACCGCGCTGATCCGATGGCAGGAGCCAGGAGCTTCTCCTGGTCTCCCATGGGGTGCAGGGCCCAAGAACTTGGGCCATCCTCCACTGCACTCCCTGGCCACAGCAGAGGGCTAGCCTGGAAGAGGGGCAACCGGGACAGAATCCGGCGCCCCGACCGGGACTAGAACCCAGTGTGCCGGCGCCGCTAGGTGGAGGATTAGCCTAGTGAGCCGCAGCGCCGGCCAGAACCCGGATAATTTATAAATTATATTCTCCGACCAAAATGAGATGAAATTAGTGATCAACAGAAGGAAAACTGCAAAATTCACAAATGTGGAAAAATTAAAAAAAAATTTTTCCTTTTTATTTGAAAGGCCCACTTTCAAATGTTCACTTCCCAAATGCCTGCAACAGGCAGGGCTGGCCAGGCTGAACATAGGAGCCTGTAACTCAATTCAGGTTTCCCACAGGGTGGTAGAGACTCAACTACTTGAACCATCATCTGCTGCCTTGAGAAGCCAGACTGGTATTAGACTTGAACCAAGAACTCTGACATGGAATGTGGGTATTCTAAGGTGGGACTGCTGTGTCAAACGCTTGCCCCACAGAATTTTATCTTTGTTTTTTTTTTTTTTTTTTTTTTAAAGCATTTAAAGTGATTTCATAATTTTAAAAAGTTTTCTTTAAACCTAACTGTGATAGATGTATCCTATTTCAGAGAAAGAATGTATGCCAAACTTAATGACACACTATTGCTGGGCACTGCAAGTCAGCTTTTTTTTTCCCCCAAGATTTATTTATTTATTTGAAAGAGAGGAGAGGAGAGGGGAGGAGAGGGGAGGGGAGGGGAGGGGAGGGGAGGGGAGGGGAGGAGAGGAGAGAGGTCTTTCATCCGTTGGTTCACTCCCCAATTGGCCGCCAGGGCTGGAGCTGCACCGATCGGAAGCCAGGAGCCAGGAATTTCTCCCAGGTCTCCCACGTGGGTGCAGGGGCCCAAGGACTTGGGCCATCTTCTACTGCTTTCCCAGGCCAGAGAGCTTTCCGATCCAGAGAGCTGGATGGGAAGAGGAGCAGCTGGGTCTCAAATCGGCGCCCATACGGGATGCCAGTGCTTCAGGCCAGGGTGTTAACCCGCTGCACCACAGCTGCAGCCCCAACAAATTAGCTGTTTTTAACAATGCTTTCTCTCTTTCTCTCCCCTCACAGCCCCTCTCTCTCTCTCACACACACACAGGTTCAAAGGTCCTGTATACCCGGTACCCAAGTTTCCCTTTGTTTACATCTTACATAAAATGGCACAATTACCAAAATTAAGAAATTAGGACTGGTGAACTATTAAATAACTAAAATAAATGGAAAGGGTTTGACAATTTTATCTTAAGCTAGAATTATGGTATTACAATATTTCAGAAGAAGGAGCTTAAAATGCTATAGTACCAATGATGGTATAAACCAAACAGAGAAACATATATGCTTTGGGAAGACAGATGATAAAAGCTGACTTTGCTTACTTGGGAGTTTTGTCTGTGCTACATACTCATGTAAAGAGGAATAGGGAAGAATTCTGAATGATGATAATAATATTAAATATATTTTATATAATTAAAATATAATTTATAATAAAAGGAAAATATATTCATGTTAATTTAAAACAAATTGTCCATAGAGTTAGTAACTGTTTTATGCTGCCCACCTTAAAAATTATAATATTTTCCACAGTAATGCTGTGACTATGAGCATAATTCAAGGCAATATCAACGTGTCTAAATATATAAATTCCAAGAAGAGGATTTCCTAGAATCTTCAGTGTAGAGGATTTGGTACTTATTCCTTTCTGATATATCTCTGCCACATCACTTTGAGGAAGTGCTAAAAAGCAGAAATGCTCCTCAAGTTCTCTGCCATGTCTTCCGTTCTCTCGCATCTCAGACCTAAAACAATTAATGCAGATAGTTAAAGGAGAATACCAACAGCAGTTTCACAGAGAAGATAAAATTTCAGTTTACCACAGTTAGAAAGCAAGAAAGTATATGACAATATTCAGAAGTGTTATTACTCTGGGATAATGAGAATTAGAGTCCAGTCATCTAGGATTTACGGGCTACATTCTGTACAAGGTTAGTGATAGTAACAAGAGCTAACATTTCCTGAAAGCTGTTAATGTATCCGGTATGAAGTCTTAAGCTCTGCATGCATTTTTTCATTTTGTCTCAACTGCCCGAAGAGTTACTATAGCTGTTATGATGTATATTTTAAAAGTGAGAAAAATGAGAGTCAAAAAGGTAATTTTGCCGAAGTGGCAAAGCAACAGAGCTGGAACTGTATGTGTCAACTGTTGCCTGTTAGGGTCCAGAGCTCAATTCTTACTAACTGTATTATGGAGGAAGGAACACGCATTTCTTCCTATGTAACTACATATTTGTATATGATCAAGTACTAGGAACATTCCTCATTCCTTAGGGATCTAGAAAACAGGTGGGAGAAATAAGCTCATATTTGTTTCTAGACTGTTTTAGTAATTTTTTTTTTTTTTTGATAGGCAGAGTTAGAGAGAGAGAGAGAGAGAAAGGTCTTCCTTCCGTTGGTTCACCCCCCAAATGGCCACTACGGCCGTTGCACTGTGGCCGGCGCGCTGCGCTGATCTGAAGCCAGGAGCCAGGTGCTTCCTCCTGGTCTCCCATGCGGGTGCAGGGCCCAAGCACTTGGGCCATCCTCCACTGCCTTCCCGGGCCACAGCAGAGAGCTGGATTGGAAGAAAAGCAACCGGGACAGAATCTGGCGCCCCGACCGGGGCTAGAACCCAGGGAGCCGGTGCCGCAGGCAGAGGATTAGCCAAGTGAGCCGTGGCGCCGGCCTAGACTGTTTTAGTAGTAACAAAATTATAAATCATCCTCAGAAAAGATTAAAATCAGAGACTCCTGATTCTAGTACTTCCCTAATAAGACCCATTTAATTGCATAAAACAGAAAACCCTACCTCACACTGGCATATCATATCGGGTGTTCTACATGGCTTGTTCAAGAACAGTGAAAGTATCAACCAGCACACCAAGTAATAAAATAGGTTCGGATACATGTTCAAAATATGATTCCAAATAACTTTTGGCAATTGAAAGCTACAGAGCCTAGCAAAGGAATGCTTGTATGCACCACGAAAGGAAAATTAATTTTTTAAAGTATATGCTTTTAATATTTATTTCCTAGAGCTTTACCACAGAATTTGCATTATATACGCTATGCACATATGCATGCTGGTATTTGTTTCATTTGTAAGAATGAATGTTAACAGTACACAGGACCACAAAACACATGGCAACAGTAAGAAACAAGTGTACTGATTATGACCACTTTTCTCTCATAGTTCTGGAAATGTCAATTTTTTTTTTTTTTTTTTAACAGGCAGAGTGGACAGTGAGAGAGAGAGACAGAGAGAGAAAGGTCTTCCTTTTTTTGCTGTTGGTTCACCCTCCAATTGGAAATGTCAATCTTAACCTTTGACCAAACATGTCATCATTTCCTGCTCTTTTTTTTTCAACTCGGCATCAGAGATTCTGTGAACAACTATGATCTTTATGTTGACTGTTAAGGCTTAATTTTCATGAAAGAATTATAATACTTCCCCTCCTATTTTTCTGATTGCTCAGTTGGGATTCTTCAGATCTGGAAAAACATTAACTTTCTGGGCAATGCCTATAAAAATTCCCACTTGGAAACACTAACAGGACCCAGGGTTGAAGGAAGAAAAGAGAAGCACACCATTCTAAGTTTCTTGTACTACACATAAATATAGTATTATCTGAAGAAACACTGTGGTAAAGATGTGTAGCAGAGATCCTTGAGTAGGGTTTTTCAACAGTGGCAACACTCACATTTTGGGCCACATTCTTTTGTTTTACCTAGTCATACACATGAACATTTTGGGTTAAATTCTTTGTATCTAGTTATGTTTCTGGCCAGACATTATATCATTTTAAGGGACTTAGTGGTATGAAACAATTTAACTTAATAAAAATCTGACCCGGGGCAACAAATACCACTGTAAATTAAAGCAGAAAATCCTACCTGGAGTTTTTTTTTATTATTGGTAATAAAACTGGTAAATACTTTTTAAATTTTCAATTGATATTTTCAGAATTACATTTGAAAAAATTTAAGCATAAATATGATTTAAATTCTAAAATGACCAACACAAAATTAGATTTCATAATTATTTCTGACTTCTAAAAAGTTGTATTGGAAGTTTGGCTTTCCAGAGTCACTTACATACTAGGATTTATGCTATAATGTTAAAAACTAGAAATTTTGTGTCTCAAGATTTCCATTTCAGAAACAACAGGTAAAATGAACCTGAATAGACTTGTATAACATAATCAGATGAGTATATGAAGAACTAACATGTACAGAGTGCTCTATTTTTTTATTTTTATTTATTTATTTTTTTGACAGGCAGAGTGGACAGTGAGAGAGAGAGACAGAGAGAAAGGTCTTCCTTTTGCCGTTGGTTCACCCTCCAGTGGCCCCCGCTGCCGGCGCACTGCGGCCGGCGCCCCATGCTGATCCAAAGGCAAGAGCCAGGTGCTTCTCCTGGTCTCCCATGGGGTGCAGGGCCCAAGCACTTGGGCCATCCTCCACTGCACTCCCTGGCCACAGCAGAGAGCTGGCCTGGAAGAGGGGCAACCGGGACAGAATCCGGCGCCCCGACCCGGACTAGAACCTGGTGTACCAGCGCCGCAGGTGGAGGATTAGCCTAGTGAGCCGCGGCGCCGGCCCAGAGTACTCTATTAAGAGACATTAGTAAGCATCAGACTTTTTGCTAATACAATATTATCTTATATTTAAAAAGAGTAATTTTTCAGAAATGTTTCCCATGTTGAAAAATTAAATGTATTTATTATATTACAGGCAGATGCATATACACAGACACACTGACAGTGTGCTCCCATATGCTGATTCACGCCACAAAGGCACACGATGTCTGGGGTTGGGCAGAAGCTTGAGGCTGAAGACCAGAGGTGAGAACTCAATCAATTATTTCATGCGGGTGACAGGAACCCAACTACTTGAGCCATCACCACTGGCTCCTGGGGTGTACATTCACAAGAAACTGTAGTGAAGATCCAGAGCTGGGGATCAAACCCAGGCACACTGATACGCTATGTGGGTGTCCTAATCACTTTACCCACTATGCCAAATATCTCCCCATTTAAAAAAATGTTTATTTGTTTTTATTGCAGTTTTTGAAAGGCAGACGCAAGGGTGTGCTGGTTTACATCCTTGCCCATAATAGCCAGTGCTGGGCAAGGCTATCGTTAGGAGCCAAAAACCCAATTTGGGTCTCATATATGGGTGGAAGGGACCCAAATACTTGAGACACCATCTGCTGCTGGGGTGCACATTAGCAGGAAGCTGGATTTTAAGTGGAGCAGCAGGGACTCCAACAGCATCTGACATTGGATGAAGGTGTTCCAGGCATTCCAGGTGGTGATTTAGCCACACTGCCTGTCCATCCTTCCCATGTTTTCATGCAGCAATACTACAGAAGATTTTGTGTCAAACCTACACCTTACAGATTCTTTAAGCTCTGGAGTGGAAAGACCAAAATTAGCCCAGTATTCAGGTGTTGGAATTTATATTTACAGTCTTGTCTGTGGGTTTCTCATTTGGGTTATTATTTTTTAAAATTACTATTTTATTCAATTTTCAAGAAATCAAGACGTTATAGAAGCTAATATAAAATTAATAAGTGGTAAAAACAGGACTAGAAGCTTGTGTATCTTTCTGAAGATCATGAACTTTTAATTAAGTATGTGCTACTGCGCTAGCTCCCTACTGAAACCAACAGAGTGAAGGTATATATGCCTCAGATGGAATACCTAGTCATAGCTAATCACATCATCCAGAATAGGTTCCAAGACAGACTGCATACAGTAGAGAAACAAAAGTTTTTGTTGAGTAAATGCAACACAGGAAGTATCTTATCCCTAAGTTTAACTGGAAACAAAAGTATAAATGAGATATTTAGATACCAGGGGTGCCTACAGGACAGAATTAAATTATTCAAGTAAGTACTTTTAGAAAATAAAGCAATGAGATTATTTCTCTGGAGAGCTAGAAAGAGAATTTACTAATTTTCAAGTCCATCAGATTGCTACTGGTAAGAAGTCATTATACAATAGGTCCAAAGTACAATATTCCAATCCCCACTTATTCACAGGGAATACATTCCAAGACCCTCAGTAGATACTTTAAAATTGTGGATAGTATGGAATCCAAATTTCTTTTTTCATTTTAATTAAGCACTTAATCGTGCACTACAGTAACTTCTCCAGTTGGATGTATAATGGCAGAACTAATATGAATTTTTTTCCTCTTTTATAATTTCATGGATACAAGATTTATGCTGACTGTAGCCTTGGCAACAACCTCAGCACACTTTTTTTTCATTCCTCAACAGCTGAAAATTCTGTTTTTCACTTAAAGCAGGGGAAGGGAACATCAACCTGCAGGCGGTATAAGACCTGTGAAATCACTTGGCCTGCTGATTTCAATAAATAATTTACTGGTGAAACAAAAAATCTATAGCATGGTAATTTTTAAGTTGATATTTTATATGGTCCACAAATAAAGTTATAAATACTCAAATGGCCTTTTCCACAAAAAAGTTTCCCTCCCCACCTTTGACTTAAAGGAACCACTCTTACAGTTCTTCTTAGGCCTATATGAATTTTCAGTATCATCATTATTCAACTTTGGAGTAAGTCAATTAAGAATTACTAAGAGAACTATGACAGTTACTGTGACAATTTAATAACTGAGATGGCTACTAAGTGATTAATGGATGGGAAATGTACAGAGTGTGGATTCAAAATAATTAACTTTATTATCTCAGGTATCTAAGTCTAAGATAGGTGAAGTTCTAGGGATGGTTGGTA